CTTGTGGTTCATTCCCCAAATGGCCGCAAAAGCCAGAGCCTAGCTGATCCAAAGCCAGGAGCTTCTTCTTGGTTGCCCACGTGGGTGCAGGGACTTGGGCCATCTTCTACTGCTTTCCCAGGCCATAGCAGAGAGCTGGATAGGAAGTGGAGCATCTCAGTCTCGAACCAGTGCTCATATGGGATGCTGGCCCTGCAGGCTGGGGCTTTAATCCACTGCACCACAACACCAGCCCCTAGTTCACCATTTTTTCCAAGAAAAAGAGCATGGTGATGCAGCAGGTTTAGCCACTTGTGATGCCCATATTCTGTATTGAGTGCTAGTCTGAATTCTAGGTGCTCTACTTCTTCACCAGTTCCCTGCTCAGTTTAAACAATCAACAAAGCAATAGTCATAATTTTTAGCATTTGTTTCAGTATCTGTGATGTAAATAGTTTCCTCTGTCCTATTTCAGGCTACCGATTTTTTATAAATGAACATGGCACTGGGAAGATATGCTCAGTTGTGCACCATTATTTACTGTTTACACCATGCTAATACAATAGGCATAATCTCAAGATAGATAGCAGTAAAATAAATAGTAAGTGATGATTTTTAAATATTTATTTATCTGAAAGGCAGAGTTATATAGAGAGAAGGAAAGACACGGAGCAAATCTTCCATCTGCTGGTGCACTTGCCAAATGGTTGAAACACCTGTGTCTGATTCAGGTTGAAGCCAGCAGCCGGGAAGTCCTCCCACATCTCCCATGTGCTTGGCAGGTACCAAAGTACGTAGACCACCTTTCACTGCTTTCCTAGGTTCATCAACAGGGAGCTGGATCAGAAGCAAAGCAGCCAGAACTTGAACAGTGCTCATATTAGATGCCAGCATTTCAGGCAGAAGCTTAACCCTGTATATTGGAATGCCAGCCCTGGAAGTGATGATTTATAGTTTTTTTTTTTTAAGTTTATATAAACTTTGATTTTAAATAAGAGCTATGCTTAACAACTGACTAATAAAATTCAAAATACTTGAGGAGTCAGCTGTCAAAATGAATATTAAGCGGCCGGTACTGTGGCACAGTGGGTTAATGCCCTGGCCTGAAGCGACGGCATCCCATATGGATGCCGGTTCGAGGTGTGGCTGCCCCACTTCAGATCCAGCTCTCTACTATGGCCTGGGAAAGCAGTAGAAGATGGCCCAAATCCTTGGGCTCCTGCACCCACGTGGGAGACCCGGAAGAAGCTCCTGGCTCCTGCCTTCGGATCCGCCCAGCTCCGGCCATTGTGGCCATCTGGGGAGTAAGCCATCAGATGGAAAACCTCTCTCTCTCTGCCTCTGCTCTCTCTGTGTAACTCTGACTTTCAAATAGATAAATAAATCTTAAAAAATATTAATTTATTATAGAAAAAACACTAAGTACTTCTCTACTCTTATGCCTTACTAATTTTTTAGGCATTTTCTATCCATTCTGATGGTACAGTCACCTAAAAACACTATATTTAATTTAATTACCAGATTTGTTGTTAAAATGGTCTCCTTCCCTTACTCAGGTAATCATTATATTGGGATCTATTTTATTAAAAGTATTATAATGTTTTTTTTCTTGATAATATAACTAAGACATTTTTACTATATTTACTATAGGAAATTTGAAAATATTAGAAGATGTAAATATTAGAAAATTAATTGCCAACAATTAATTTTATCATATCTAATAATAATTCTGTTAGTACCTTAGAATTTTATATTTTAGACTTAATTATAGAAAATGAAATAACAATTTTTTAAATTTATTTAAGGTATGTGAATTTTATCTATACAGATTTAGCAACATAGTGATTCTTTCCACCTTGATCTCTGAAAATTTCTTTCTGTTTTAAAGATGTATTTGTTTTAGAGATGTATTTATTTATTTGAAAGACAGCGCTGCAGAGAGAGAGAGAGGCGACATCTTCCATCTGCTGGTTTTCTCCCCATATGGCTGCAATGGCCAGGACTGGGCCAGAACAAAATCAGGAGCCAGGAGATTCATCCGGATCTCCCACATGGGTGCATGGTCCCAAGTACTTGGGCCACCTTTTACTGTCTTCCCAGGTTCATTAGCAGGTTTGGAAGCCAAGCAGACAGGATTCAAACTGGTTCCCAAATGAGATGCTAGCATTGCAGGCAGCAGCTTAACCTGCTACACCACAAAGCTGGCCCCAATAATTTATTTCCTAACCTAAAACTATATATCTATATATCTATATCTATATCTAGATAGGCTGAGGCCTACACTGTTATCTGTTTCTGCATATTTCTTTCCAACAGAGCACAGGTTAATCTGCAGCAGCAATATGGCTATCTACAGTGTCAAAATAACTTACTCTAAACAAGTTATGACAATCACATTCTGCTGTCCTGGGCTTCTTTATGACTAGGGAATGTTTAAATGAGCCAAATTAGATCAGTAAATGAAATGGACAGAAATGTTTTTTTCATGGTGAGCTTTTGTTTTCCTGATAGATGAATAAAATGAAAATAAGTATGATTTCTGCATCTTCCTAAGTAATCATATATTTATGGAGTTACTGCCTTAAAAAGTATCATAACAGGGCTGGCACTGTGGCACAGCCAGTTAAGCCACTGTCTGCAGTGCCGATATTCCATATGTGTACCAGTTCCAGTTTCAGATGCTCCACTTCCAATCCAGCTGCCTGCTAATGTGCCTGGGAAAGCAGTGGAGTATGGCCCAAGTCCTTGGACTTCTACATCCAAATGGGAGACCTGGAAGTTCCAGGCTCCTGGCTTCAACCTGGCCCAGTCCCAGCAGTTACAGCCATTTGGGGAGTGAACCACTGGGTGAAATCTCTTTCTCTCTCTATGCTTGGGCTTCCAAATAAATAAATATTAAAAAAAAAAAAAGATATCACCACAGTTCTGTTCTTTCAGTTTTTTGTGTCTGCCCTGTTCTGCAGATTTAACTTATACCAAGATTTGTGTACTGTAACTCTGTGTTACAGCCTTGGAACTTTCTCAATACAAAGAGTATAAGGCTTTGCATTCTTTATTTTTTTTTAAAGAAATCAAGAACTACTACTTGATTTTAGAATATTTTTTAAAATTATGATAATTAAAGCAGAATGAATTTAAAATAAAAATTGATAAAAATAGGCCAGTGGAACAGAATGAAATCCCTAGAAGTAAACAAACACATCTACAGGAAACTGATCTTTGAAAAAAGTGCTCAGAAATGCATTAAAGAAAGAGATATCTTTTCAATCAATGGTGATGGCAAGATTGGATTTCCCCAAGCAGAAGAATGAAAATAAACCTTATAGTTATACTCAGAATAAAGGCCTGCATGTTGCACTGGGAACTGTGAAACTGCTAGAAGAAATCATAGGAGAAATCCTTCAGGTATAGATGAGAGCAAAGATTTTTAGTTAGGCTGCAAAAGCACAGGAAACAAAAGTAAAACCAGACAAGTAGTATTTCTTGGAAACCTTTGAGTGAAGAAATATCCAATAGAATGGGAACAATCTAAGTGTCTATGAAGTGATGCATGGATAAAGAAAATGTGGTTTATATATACACAGAATGGAATACCTGTCAGTCAAAAAAATGATGAAATTCTGCCATTCGTGACAACATGGATGGTCATAAGGTTAAGTTGAATAAGCAAGGCATAGAAATACAGCCACAGCATGATCTCATTCATACGTGCAATCCAAAAGAGTTTATTTAAAAGTTGAGAGTAGAGTGATGATTTCCAGAGGAGAGGAGGATAGGACTAGAGAGGGGAGCATGGGTGAGGTTTGATTAGTGGGAATGGATAGTAAGTTACAGTAACATAGGATAAAGAAGTTCTGCTGTTCCATTGCAGAGTTCAGTGAATACAGATAATATAACGTGCATTTTTCTAAAAGTAAAACAAACGGGGCCGGACTTTTGTTTAGCGGCTCACTTGGCTAATCCTCTGCCTGCTGCGCCGGCACCCCCGGTTCAGTCCCAGTTGGGGTGCTGGATTCTGTTCTGGTTGCTCCTCTTCCAGTCCAGCTCTCTGCTGTGGCCCAGGAAGGCAGTGGAGGATGGCCTAGGTCCTTGGGCCCTGCACCCACATGGGAGACCGGGAAGAAGCACCTGGCTCCTGGCTTCAGATCTGCACAGCGCGCCGGCCATAGTGGCCATTAGGGGATGAACCAATGGAAGGAAGACCTTTCAAAAAAAAAAAAAAAAAAGGTAAAACAAACATAATTTTGAATGTTTTCATGATTAAAAATTCTAAATGTTTGATATAAATACGTTTATCCTGATTTGAATGTTATAGGAGGTGTGAGTATATTGAAACACCATATGACACTCCATAAATACTTGCAATTTTTAGAAGTATATTTTTATTTTCATCTACTTGAAAGAGAGAGAAAGAGAAAGAGGGAAAAAGAAAGAGAAAGGTCTTACATCTGCTGGTTCATTTCCCAAATGCCTTCCACATCCAGGGTTATGACAAGCTGAAGCCAGCATGCAGGATCTCATTGGGATCCTGAGTCATCATCTGCTGTCCCGCGGATGCGTTAGTAGCAAGCTAGATCTGTGGAGCAAAACCAGGACTCAAACTGACACTCTGATATGGCGAGCTGACATTTTTTATGTATCAATTAAAAGAGTACAGGCTTTGTCCTACCAGCAATAACCATATTGCTTTGTATTTTATTGCCTGGGTCGTGGGCTAATCACTGAAATATTCCCATAGTTTTGGGGTGAAAAACCATTGAGAAAAAGGACTATTATTGAATGGGAATAATAGTGTATGAAGTAAGAACTAGACCTGGCAGAGACACTGGAGTAGAAAAATGCCAAAGTAGGGTTATTCTCCATGGGCAGAGTTATGGGCTGAATGGTATTCTCCCCAATATGTATGTAAAACTCTAAGCCCCTGTATCTCATAATGTAAGTCACATTGGAGATAGGTTCTTTGAAAAGATGATTAATGTAAAATGGTCATTTTATTTTGTTTTGAACGGTATCCTTACAAGACACAGAGTCTGATGAAAAACCTGTGAATGAGACAGAAAGAGAAAACAGCCAGCCACCAAACAAGAATGAAGACTCTCAAGAAATCAACCCTACTGACATCTTGATCTTGCACTTCTGTTCTCCAAAATTGTGAGAAAATCAATTTCTGTTGTTGAAATTACCCAGGCTGTGGTACTTCACTGGGGAAGTTTTAACAAACTAACATAGCCGAGCATCTTCAGAGCAGGAGACAGCATGCACAACCATGACAAAATTATTTTCCTTTAGTTTCTGTGAAATGAGAAGTAGGTAGCCATGGCTCAGAGGAGCTCTCTGCTAGAAGTTGTTCACCACGATATGTCCTCCCAGTCTCTGCTCCAAGGTACTGACACTGAAAAGATGGATTGACATTGAAGGACTTTTCTGAAATGAATTGTTAGGATGAATTTTGACAGCTCAATCCACTTAAATTTGCTCCTGTAATGCAGCTTAGGAAGAGGAGATTATTTTTGGTTCATTTTTCTTTGTTAATTCTCAAAAGATTGAGCTAAGCATTTTGAAAAACAAGTAAAATGGCCAGGTTTACAGCCAAAGCAAAACATCCAGTGACTTAGAATGAATGAAGAGATCTTTTTTTCCTTAAAATTCATGGTGAGGTGTGACACAAATGTTTCTTCAAAATGCTGGATATTATCTTTCATGACAATTTTCATTGCAAATGTTTTAATTAAAATTAAAAACTTTCCTTTTTTAATGTATTATAATAGTCTATTTTTCATCAGCCTTTCGAATATCTTCTTGTCTATGTAATACTGATCCTACTGAAAAGCTCATTTCTACTCACAGTAATCATAATATATTTAATTTCATAAAAATCAAACAAGTTTTTAGTTTTGTCTTTCAAATTACCATTGCATGTGTTTTTCTTTAATATCCTAATGTGAACCAGTTCTGTCACTGTGAACTCATGGCCATCTTGGTTGAGTGCTCATTATGAGGTAATGACTCCATCAAACTTCTGTAAGCTGTGCTGACAGCCATCATACCCACATGTTTCAGAGACATCTCAGACCTGCATTAAAGTAACTCTTTCCAGGTAATGTTTTTTCTTTTTTATATTTTTGTCAAACTTTAAACTCCCCGTGAATACATGAAGTTTTCCATAGAGTAGATTAAAAAATGGCTTTTTTGGGGCCAGTGCCATGGCTCAATAGGCTAATCCTCCACCTGTGGTGCTGGCACACCAGGTTCTAGTCCCAGTTGGGGCACCAGATTCTATCCTGGTTGCTCCTCTTCCAGTCCAGGTCTCTGCTGTGGCCCGGGAGTGCAGTGGAGGATGGCCCAAGTCCTTGGGCCCTGCACCCACATGGGAGACCAGGAGAAGCACCTGGTTCCTGGCTTCGGATCAGCACAGTGCACCAGCCATAGTCACTTTTTCCAGGTAATGTTTTTCCTTTTTTATACTTTGTCGAACTTTAAACTCCCCATTAATACATGAAGTTTTCCATAGAATAAAAAAAAAAAATGGCTTTTTTGGAGATTTCTCTGATTAGCAGTATGATCTTTGTTTGATTTACATTTCCTTAAATATGGTTTGTTTATTTTTCCTTGTTAATGCAATCATTATCATTTTCCAGCAATTTCCCTCATAAATGCTTGTCATTCCACTATTGCTTCTACAAAATAGTTCATTATTACTGACACTGATCACAGTACATTTTACTTCATAACACCTCGATTCCCTTTTTATTTTGTGTGTAGGTGTGTGTGTTTGAGCTTGTAACCATCAACTGTGTGTATATTTTGTATTCTATTTATTCTTTAAAGATTTACTTATTTAATTTGAAAGGCAGAGTTATAGAGATAGAGGAGAGAGGGAGGGGAGAGGAAGAGAGAGAGAGAGAGAGACCTTCCATCCTTTGGTTCACTTCCCAAATGGCTGCAGCAGCTAGAGCTGGGTCAGTATGAAGCCAGGAGCCGGCAGCTTCTTCTGGTTCTCTCACGTGGGTGCAGAGGCCCAAGGACTTGGGCCATCCTCTACTGCTATGCCAGGCACATTAGAAGGTAGCTGGATCAGAAGCAGAGCATCCTGGACTTGATCCATCACCTGTATAGGATGCCAGTGTCACAGACAGTGTTTTTATACACGATGCCACAGCCTCTGGTATCTGATATAAACCCATTCTAATCACTAGGAACTTGAGGCCATCTTGCTTGCATTTTTTTCTTTAAGAAGTTTTCAACTGACACAAAATTGTGTAAGTTGTTCTGGCAATTTCCATGTCTTTCATAGACTTCTCAGGCAAATCTGACCATTTTCCCTTTCCAGGTATCATATTTATTGGCAATTCTGAATTTTTTAAGAGCTATGTTTTTAACCTTGATTTTTGAAAATGTCCTTAGATTAATTCCAGTTACTGGCATTTTCCTTTATAATTAGTGGTATTTGTTGTGGACTTTGATTTATATTTTATGAAAAAATTTAGTTTATATTCTTTTTAAAGGTAATTTAATAAAATTTTCAGCAATTTCACTTATATCTATTGGTCACTCTATATTACTCCTACAAAATTACTCATATTTCACAGTGATTAGCCTATATTTATTTTATAACAATGACAATTTCATTTTAATCTTCTTTTTGAACTGGAGTTAATAGCTAACAAAATCCTAGTGAAAGCCAATCCTAGCACTAGAAGCCCATGGTTATCTTGGTTGGCTTTTTGTTATGAGGTCACCAACTCAATCAGAATACTGTAATTTTTATGGGCAACCATCATTGAAACATATTTTTAGACATATCATAGACCCATTTGATAATTTATCATCTGTAGATAATAATATTTTTACCATTTCTGGATTTTATGAATCCTAAATTTATCTTTGATATTTTTAAAGACTTATTTATTTGAGAGGCAGAGTTACAGACAGAGAGAGAGACAGAGAGAAAGGTCTTCCATCCATCTGCTGGTTTACTCCCCAGATGGCCACAATATGATGGCCAGAGCTGAGCCAAACCGAAGCCAGGAGCCAGGAGCTACTTCCTGGTCTCCCACATGGATCAGAAGAGGAGCAGCCAGGACATGAACTAGTGCCCAAATGGGATACCAGCACTGCAGGTGGAGGCTTAACCTACTATGCCACAACACCGGCCCCTGTCTTTGATTTTTAAAAGTTCTAATGAAATAATTCTAGATAAAGATACCTTTCCCTTAAGATAATTGTGGTACATTTTAAGATCTTTGATTTAATTTCCCTGGAACATTTTTGCATATTTTCCTTTCTTCTGTGGGCTTGTATTTTCTTTTTATAGCAACTTTCCTTATGGGGGGGTTTCAGGAAGAAATTTTATTTCACATTAAAATATGGTCCATAGTAATCCAATTTTGAAAAATGCATTCTGTGTGGGTTTCTTTTGCATATTTAGATATGTAATAGTATGAGCAGTGGCTGGATAATATAATTTTCATCCAAATATCAAGTATAGTTCAATGGTGAAAATACAAGTTTTACATTTATACATGCCTTTATTGTTGAAGTTATATGAAATGAATTTATAATGCTACAACAGAGGAATAAAATTTAAAGGTGTAGTAAAATAAGAAATGTATTTTGAATGTCCGTTAGAAACAGAACTGAGGAAATCATCAAGAGGCCACAGTCACCAACATAATTGGTTACTTTGCTAGATGGCCACTCAGCTCGAGGCCTGGGAGACACATAATTGAATTCAGGCTGATGAGCATGGAAATGGAGCAATAACTTCCTGGAGAAGATTGAGATACAGGAACACAGTAACTGAGGGTGCCCCTGAAGATCAGTGCCGCTAGGCGGAGGATTAGCCTAGTGAGCCGCGGCACCGGCCCTAAAGAGCTATTTTCTGAGGTGGCATAGATCATTGATCACAGTGTTTTCTATTCCAAATATCTCCCAGATGTGTTCTGTGTCAAATTTTGGAAGACTGGTTGGCCATTTGCCAATCAGCACCTATCATTCCAATCATTTCCTTTATGCTTTCTTTGGATAGGCATCACGGAAGTCACTTGCCAGCCCCAAGTGATGCATGGTAAAGGGGGTATACTGGGGACAGCTCCTTGTTATAATGGGCAGCTCCTGTTGTGGGCTGGCCTATACCTCTTCTCTTTTGTATTAAAATAACTCAGTTTTCTAGCAGAAAACCTACTTCAGATGGTTTGGGTGGAGAACAATCAGTTCTCCCCTCCATCCTTACCTTACACAAAATTGGTCATGTGACACAAGGTGAACTATTTGGAGAATGCCATCCTGGTAACAGTTATTGATACAAGGATGGCTTTGTGGCCCAAACTGGACCAATCAGTCCTCCTCAGGACCTCTCCATGAGTGTTTCAAGGGAAGACTAGTTCATTCCTATCATTTTACTAAGGAAGGGGAGATATGGGTTGATGGCTACTGGCAGCCATTTTTCTAAGATCATGGAGAAAAACATCCTAAAAACTGCAGCCAAGCCAGGACAGGCAGAGTTCAGATATGGAAAAAGAACTATTCTTTACCTAATTTTAGTCTCCAGTCATGCTTGGTTCCAAGAATAAATCAACTTCTTGGAGCAGGAATTTGGCAGGGTTAGGATGCTACTTGTGGCATTTCATATGGGGGTGGCTGGGTTTTAGTACTGGTTCTGCCTCTGATTCCAGCTTCCTCTACTGTGCACCCTAAGAAAAACCAGGTGCTGTATCACTCAGCAACTTTCCTTATTATTGTTCCTACCACTGTTATTGCTCCTGTCAACTTATTCATTTTATCTAAAGAAATTAAAAATGTATTTTATTGAATAGTATTTCTAATTTTCTTTCTTTTTTTTGCCTTTGTATGTCATTAATATTCCAGTTTCAGCCAAATTTAGTATGGTATCCCTGTACACATCTTGTTCAGCTATTTAATTATGAGATTGTTGAACTTTTTTTTTTTGACAGGCAGAGTTAGACAGTGAGAGAGAGAGAGACAGAGAGAAAGGTCTTCCTTCTGTTGGTTCACCCCACAAATGGCCGCTACGGCCAGCACACTGCACTGATCTGAAGCCAGGATCCAGGTGCTTCTTCCTGGTCTCCCATGTGGGTGCAGGGCCCAAGAACTTGGGCCATCCTCCACTGCCTTCCTGGGCCACAGCAGAGAGCTGGACTGGAAGAGGAGCAACCGGGACAGAATCCAGCACCCCAACTCGGACTAGAACCTGGGGTGTCGGTGCCGCAGGCAGAGGATTAGCCTAGTGAGCCGTGGTGCCAGCCTAAGATTGTCGAACTTTTGTAAATTGTCCCTGGAAATATTTATGTATATAGTTTCACAGAGCCATCATAGAAAGGGGTGATTATTTCTCCTTCCATGTCAGATTTTTTGCATAACCTGGACTATTTTAAAGATTTATATATTTGAATAATGGAGCAAGGGCGGAGGAGAGAGACAGAGGGAAATTTTTCCATCCACTGGTTTATTCCCCTAAATGCATGTAGCAGCCATATTTGAGCCAGGTGGAAACCAGGAGCTGGCAGTGCCACCCAGGTCTCCCACATGGGTGATAGAGGCCCATGTACTTGTGCCATTTTCTGCTGCTTTCAGGCACATTAATAGAAAGCTGGATCATCTGCAGGGAAGCTGGGACTCTAACCAGGACTCCAATATGAAATTCTGGCATCACAAACTAAAACTCAATGTGCTGCACCACAATGCCTGTCCCGCATTATCTGGATTTTAATGGGACCTGAAATTTTTTTTTTTAATTTATTTATTTGAAACTCAGAGTTACATAGAGAGAGAAGGAGAGGCAGAGAGAGAGAGAGAGAGAGAGAGAGAGAGAGAGAGAGTTCTTCCATCTGCACTCCCCAATTGGCTGCAATGACTGGAGCTGCACTGATCCAAAGCCAGGAGCAGGAGCTTCTTCCAGGTCTCTCACATGAGTGCAGGGGCCCAAGGACTTGGGCCATCTTCTACTGCTTTCCCAGGCCATAGCAGAGAGCTGGATCAGAAATGGATCAGCTGGGACTCAAACCGGCTCCCATGTTGGGTGCCAGCACTGGAGGCAGCGGCTTTACCACCTATGCCACAGTGCCGGCCCCAAATTTGTTTT